CTAGCACTCCTAATAGCACATTCAAGCAAACCAGCCCCACCGTTTGGTTGGATTTTTCTTTTAGTGTAGTAAAAAAGTCTCACTCTAGGTTATCCATAGTATATATTGTGAAAGAGGCATTTTTTTTCCTAATACAACAGAGCTGAAATTAAGTATGTAAAGAAGTAGAGTCTGTTCAAAATCCTAAATACACAAGAGCTTGATTTCAATTACTATCAAACAAATTCCATTAACACCGCTTTACATTAAACAAAAGGGAAAAAACAAAGACCAGTCACCAGTTCCCTCTTTTAGTTTTATTTCTTCCTATTGATTTCCAGTTTTATTTAGTTTCTAGCATTGGCTACCTAAAACTTATTATTTAATATAGATAAAGTAATGAAGAAACAAATTCTGAAGATCTTTGCATGTCCTTCTCTCAGAGTTATCAGCACATTCCACAATATAAACAACCTTAACAAAAATATCACCTGCCTTATAGCTTGGCTTCACTATCCACTTTTGATCTCCACCACTTCCAAATCCTGTGAACCAAACACAAACCGACTTAGTACTGCAGTAAAATATTAAAAACCAAGAACAACTCTTTCACAGTCACTTTCACAGAAAATATTTTTAACAACCTTACACATATACACAGTATACACGACAAACCATCATACAACTTTCAATAATCTTCAAATAAAAAAAAGGCTGATGAATATTACCTACTCCATTAAACCTTCGCTTTTTCTGTTCGGTCGTCGATGCTTTATCTACCATCAACTTGTAAACAACCCTATCATCAAATGTTGTTGTGTTCCTTATGCCGTGCACCATAATGCTGCTTCTCAATGTTTTTTCCCTTCACTCGTCGCAAACAATTTTCCATCCTCCGTCATGCTCGTTGGCTTTAACTTGTCCTCCCCTGTCACTGGTTCATGTTTCATTGGTTGTCATCGATGGTTTCGTTTAGGTCGTCGTCGATAGTAGTTGTTCAGTAGCTCAAAGCCTCAAACTCTACACAAAACACTTCCTCCACTTCCTATCTTGCGCTACAATGGCAAAAAGAAAGAAGAAAAGCTCAACCCAACTACACAAGCGACAATGCCAAGACTTGAAGAAGGGTAATACTACATAAGTGCCTGGAGAAAAAGCCACAACAAACAGCCACAAAACCATAGACTTTCATTTATTCTTCTTTTTTTATTCAATGTCAATTGTTAAGGACACATGTCAAGCCCCTAAGAAATCTTCCAAGAGAAGCTTCTTCCATTAATCGAGAAAGTTAATTAAAATTTCAAATTTGGCTGCTCTATATACAATTACTATATTACCCTTTAATAGACTGAAATTTTTAACACAGAATGACGGAAGCTTTTATTTTTCTTTTTCAAATTATTTGGGTACCACCTTGTCATTCTTCAAGCCTTGGGTGGTGTGATGTCGTTCAGCCTATTTAAGTCATATAATTTAGGGAAAACGACTTATACCTACCCAAGGTTTGGCGAAACGACAGATTGGTACCCAAAAGGTTTCAAAAAGAACAACATGTACCTTCTGTTAGTGAAAAGACTAGAATGCTTTTAGAAATATTAGTCTATTTTTTTAATTACTTTTAAACCCCTTAATTTTATAATTCCATCAAATACCTCACAAAAAAAGTTTAAAATTAACAAAAACCCCCCCACCCACCCATATTTGCCAGATTCCGGCGGCCACCGCCTGTGGTAGCGGAATCTGTCACAACGTCTACGCCACCACCATAAATGGTCGGTAATTCACCGATCTGGCCTTTTCCGGCCAGATCCACCACGGATATGGCCGGAAAAAGCCAGATCTGATGTTGAAAAGGCCAGTCTGGCCGGAAAGTGATGGCTAAAGAAATGAAAAATCTTGGTCATCGTTGACAGACAACAACGGCCACATCTTTGCGGTCGCTGACGGCCAAAGATGGAGTGCTGCGGCCGTTGACAAGCCAGATCTGCCTTTTCCGGCCATATCCGTGGGGATCTGGCCGGAAAAGGTCAGATCGATGAATTACCGGTCATTTACGGTGGTGGCGTAGACCGTTGTGACAGATTTCGGCCACCACCGATGGTGGCCGCCGGAATCTGGCAAGTATGGGTGCGTGGGGGTATTTTTGTTAAGTTTTAAACTTTTTTTCTGGGGGTATTTGATGGAATTAATAAACTTAAAGGATTTAAAAGTAATTAAAAAAATAGACTAATATTTCTTAAAGGGCATTCTAGTCTTTTCACTAACAGAAGGTACATGTTTGTCTTTTTGAAACCTTTTGAGTACTAATCTGTCGTTTCGCCAAACCTTGGGTAGGTATAAGTGGCCTTATAATTTATTACAAAAGTGTTAAAACCATGTTGGATTATTTTATTATTTTATAAGAGAATGTGTAATATTTTTAGGGTCTGCTTTCGAGTTTTTTTTTCACTGGTTTTAAGGAGTTTTTAATTAGACTGGTTTTGAGGTGTTTAAAAACCATTACTTGCCAGATTTTCAATAGGCTGGTTTTGACTGGTTTAAAAACCCCCTAAAACCAGTGTAGAATATTTTTGAGGGGTTTATAAAATACCCCAAATCGGGGTGTTTTGACTGATTTAAAAATTTTATCCCCAAAAAACCCCTTTTCCACAATAATCCCTTTGCTGCTAAAACAAAAGTCATAGAGCCTCTTCGTTTGATTCTTCCTTCTCCAGCTTCTTCAATTCTCTCAACAAGGTTTGTTTCTCTCTTTCTCTCTCATTTTTTGTATGGGTTTACCATGCTATGCTTAAATGAGGGAAGAATTATTTGTTCTTCTTAATTGATTTGCCCTAGATTTGCAATAGGTTATTCTATTAATCACATTTGAGATGAATTACCGCTTGTTTGAAAGGTTATAATTTTTGTTCTTTTAATCTGGTAATCTGCAGGTTGTATAATTGGATTAAGTTCAGAATTGCAAGCAAAAATTGTTTAGCTTGTTGAAGGTGAAAAGGACAAAGAAGCACGTGATAAGCAACAGGAGGTTTACTGGTTTAACAGTTTGCGTCGGTGGACGGGACTTTGTTTTATTATGATAATTATCCAACAAAACAAATTCTTTCTAAAAGTAATGGGGATGAAGGAGACTAATGGCTTTTTCAAGTCTTAATTTCAGCTAATAAAGTTATTATTTAATGCACATAGATTTCTAAACCAACAGAAAACAGAGGGTATAGCAAAAGAGAGGGTGTTTTAACTTTGTTTGGTTGTGTTTGTGTGAAGAAAGCGAAAGATAGACAACATTATAATTTACTGATTTGTATTTCTTTTTATTTAAATGTTTAAGTTTGGGTATTTTTATGGACATATATGTAAATTTATTATTTAAAAAAAAATATCAGAATCGTTAGAAAATAAACTCTCAAGCACAGATTAGGTATTTTAAAAACCGTTACTAAAAACTCTTCAAAACCGTTACAGTGGTTTATCCTCAAAACCGCTATGATTGTTTACCTTCATAATCACTACCATAAAACTTCTAATCAGACCTCAAATAGTTTTTAGAGACTTTTTTTTTTTAATTATATAAACATTTTTTAATATTTTCTGTTTGTATTTCTATTATAAATTAAATATATTTTGATACGTTAATGAATATGGGACTTGTCTGAAGCCACGTGGTTGGGAATGTCAAAAGCGTAAGATTATTTATGAACGGATGATTGGAGAAGATACCAAACACAAACAGCCACTTAGATGAGAAATTTGTCCTATTAAAGATATAAACGACGTCAGGTGTCAACAAGTACAGTTTGTTAAATTATTGAAAGCCGGCTTAACAGTTGACAAAATCATTTTCTTTTTTTCTCTTTAGATATACTTTCAATTATCAAAATTTTAACACTATTATAAAAGTTATTTTTGTATAATAAAAAAGATAAGATGAGAGACATTTCTGATTAAGTATTAAAGAGCTATATAGGTTTGGTTGCGCCTATCTAAGTTAGGTGGTCTTTTATAGACGTCTCAAATTATTTATATAATAAATTTTTTAAATAATAAATATTGGTTTACAATATAATTTTATAAGCTTTTTTTCGTAACCCTGATGTGATTGTTTGTAATTGGTTAACTCGTAATTAGGCAGACGAAACTTATTTACGAATTGATCAATTATAAACTGTTATATCAAATTATGAGAAAAAATTTGTGAGATTAGATTATTTGTTAACCAATTATCTAAAATATGTTTGGTAATTATATTTCAAAAGTGATTAAAAGAAAAGTAGATTTATTTCATTATCTATTTTATTCAACAGAATTAAAAGTAGGTTCTAACTTAAAAATTGTTTTTGTATGTCAATTAATAAAAATAAAAAAATAAAATAAAAAAACCTTCTTATTAACTTAAATTTTATATTTTCTAATAAAATACTAATTTAAAATTTGATAAATAAATTTTCAAATATGAAAACTTGAAATCTACTGGATGGCAATCGTCGCCATCACCGAAGGCGTGTCTGATGCCAATGTGGAAATTGACAATGACATTGTTTGTTCGTAGGAGGCCAAGAAAGTTTGGCGACAATCTACATAACGGTTCCAACATAAAAGTCTGCAACGACTTTCTTTGTTAATTAGAGGTTGAGAAAGATTCAATCGAACTTTCCCGACCTTCAACAATCAAATGATGCTGCCTCTAATTTCCACACCAACATCCTTATATAGATCGTCTCGCAAAAATCTCAATGGAGCCAACAGTGTTACCAAATGCATCTTTGGAGACGACGACTTCCTTCTAGACTCCTTCCGATTAGTTTTTCAAGTTTTCAAATTTTAACCTCCTTCTATGTAAAACATTAATTATTAATAAATTAAAAAAATTAGAAAAACTTAGTATTTTAGAAAAAAATAAAAAAATAAATACCAAGAGCAAAAGCAACTTTAAAATCAACACAAACTAATACCCTATAAATTATTTCTAAAATTGATTATTTCTTAAGTTAAATTATAAGCGCTCAAGGAGAAGCTACAGCAATAACAATCTCAAAGCATAAAATGCTTCATTAAATTGATGCTTTAATAGACTAATAACATTAGCTAACCCTTAAAAATGTCGCCTGAACTACACCAAAATCAGAGTAATCCAACAAATGTCATTTTCATGCACAATGTTTTAATAGGACTTATTTCTCTGATGTTTACATCGAACAAAATTTTGATAACAAAATTAATTATTTTACATCAAAGAATACCGCAATTGAAATGCTCAGTTATTATCATTTTCTTTCTTTGTTGGATCAGAACTTACAATTGGAAGATTTCTTCGATACTGCTGAGATGTCAACCTCCTTTCTAATGGTGTTTTCCTCTTGCTCACAACAAACCTGTTTACTCCTTTCCTCATTGGCATTATTGATGGGAAATCTTCGTCAGGGATCTGGCTCAACTCCGAAATATCCTTTATCTGAGCAACGCGTCGGAACCACCTCTCTGCCTTTGCCTCCTCTGACATATCCAAAGGGTCTGGTTCCTTCACTGCCGAACCCTCCAAGCTCTTTCCACTCCAGCTATTTCTAATATTCTGATCTGCAGTTGGTTGAGATGCACTCCCAGCTAAGTTTACCATCTTGCTACTCTGGTTGTCAGTTGGTTGAGATAAATTATCATTGCTCATTGGCGGTGGACTATTAAATTTCTGGGTTGAAGTTTCATTGGTTGACGTCCCATAAGCTGCACTTGTCTTATGACCCTTAAAGTTCTCTCCGGTAGGTTCTGAGTTAAAGCTCATAGAACTGGTCTGCTGATTTTCCATTTGCCGCATACCATCCATATCAGGCACTGGTGGTCTAGCCTCATGCATTTTCCCTGGTAATACAGAATTTGTAGTTTCTTCAGCTGCTTTAGGAGTCATATCTGCTCCCTCTGGCTGCTGTTTATCCTTCTTAGCAAAGTAATCAGGTGGGAAGGGGACAAATGGAACAAAATTAGTATTGTTAGCTTGCTCAGTTGCCATACGTCTCTTGTACATTGGTGAGGTCAGAGAACGATCCTTTTTCTTGTTAACTACAAACCGGTTCTCTCCTTTATGCATTGGCATGATCTCAGGGAACTCCTCATCAGAAATTTCACTAGCCAGATCAGTAACATCATCCAGCTCAGCAACCCTCTTAAACCATCTCTCAGATTTTTCAGCTTGTTCATTCTCTTTATTCTTCAACTCCTTCTGGTTTACTGGCTTTCCAGACAGCTGATTATTTTTTTCAGGATTTAGATAATCATTGCCTCCAGAAAATCCATCAGTTTGTTCATGAGTGTATGAAGCATCAGAATGGTAGTTGCCAGACTGTGGACGCATGCTCTCATCAACCTGAAAACTTTCAGGTTTCTTGGCGAACATATCTGCAGGTAATGGCACAAATGGAACATAATTAGAATTGCTTCCTCTATAGTTCCCATATTGTGACGAGCCTGAACTAGAAGTAGCAGGGAAATTATCATCTACACTCTGGTTGAAATTTGGGTCAAGACTCTTCTTCTTATCCCCCATCTGGAGATCATTACCCTCAGGTATGCCATCATTACCCATGTTTCTTCTATACTGAGCATTGGCCAGCCTCCTCTCTAGGGGAGTCTTCCTAGTGCTCACAACAAATCTGTTAACTCCTTTCCTCAGGGGCATGATTTCAGGGAAATCTTCATCTGCTATGGCACTGCTCATATCAGAAGTATTGTCCAGCTGCGAAACCTTACTAAACCACCGTTGTGCCTTCTCTTCATTAGCAGCCAACCTGCTATCAATATCAACCTGATTTGCAAGGCTCCCATATCCATATCCTTGACCTGACCTGTTGTTTGCCATACCAGGCAAGAGCTCTCCAGGTCGCTTGCAATCACACCTCAAGCATACTGTATTCCTCGCATAATTAAAGAACTCACATCTGAAAAATTGGAAGTTAAAAGTGAAATCACCATTTGTACCATTTGCACTCTAACAGAAGAAAAATGCATCAACAAGCCTTTTGGGGAAAATATAGTAGAAGGCAAAAAAGCAAGTTAAGAAGAAATGCTCACTGAGGACACTCCCATTCCCCACCAGTCAGCTGTTTTTTGGGTCTTGCTTCTTCACATTCAAGACATTTCTGATTTCTTGCAAAGTTCATAAAGCTACACCTGCTCAATACAGATGATAGTAAAATACTATTAATCAAGATAGGTGTCAAATTTTTGCAACAGTGAGCATACAAAATAAATTTTATTATGTGTCCAAATCCAATTTGTAGAGCAGTACAAAGTGCTGCTAAATTGAACAATAAAAGAAGGAAGAAGGATAAATAATAAATAATTAATGAAATAAATTAAAAAAAAAAAGTTCAAAAGACTACCTGGGGCAAATCCAATCACCTCTTTTAATTTCTATGTTTTGCCCAAAGGGCCTTGGTGTTTGTCCATATCTGTCTGGGAATTGATTCTGCAGTGACCCAGAAAGGTTTGATTCTGGAGTTCTACAGCTCAGCTTGGCCAACTCACCCAAAAGATTACTGACAGATAACTCAACCAGTTCCCAATTATTGAAACTATTTGCCTCTGAAAAAGCAATGAGATTACTTGCACAACTCAATAAAAACTTCATCAAATCAACTGTATTCGCTTTATCAGTATCCAACTCCTGAAAGAGCAAAAGATGGTTAGGAGCAGGAAGTATACAGCAAGGCTAGCTGCTACACATATAGTTGTAAAGAGCAGCTTAAAACTAATACAAAAAATAATATGCTATTTTTCCAATAAGTTTAAGCTAAAGAGAAAAGAATTAGTTAAAGAAAATAACTTTAAGCTTAAATTCACAAGAATCAATTAAAGTACTATGCAAGACAGATGCAATAAAATTCTTACATGCTTCAAGTTACAACAATATAATCCTTTTCACTTCATATCGACATTTGTAAATTTAAAATTTCAGTAAATGGGGCATAAGTTCCGAAGGTAACTTGTTGGCTTTGACTGTTATTTCAATGTCTGAGCATAGGCTACTTAATGAAATATTTTCTCCTCCATATCCAATGTTCCATTGTCAAATATTCTTCGATTATGAGTAACATTCAGATATCAAGTCTCAATTCTCTTTTCTGAACTGTGCATTGACAGCGTTATGAAGAGTTTAAAGACTAAACATTAATTGAAATCTATTTAAAGAGATTGTCATGGGCATTACAACAATATTTAGCATCTAAAATTATAACCAAGGACTTTTGACCAACCAAGCTGATGAAAAATTATTAAAACCAACCCAAAGAACTTATCATTAAGCTTATTACAACCACCAAAAAAACAAAAACTTAAGAGAAAATCAAATACTCATTTTCTTGAAACATTTGCAAATTACTATTACTATTCTTGAGCAATAACATATTCTGTAGATTAATTAATATTCATTTATCTTCAATAAAATCCTAAAATATCATAAGCTAGCAGACTCTTTCTTGATTCTACGGGTAGAGGCCATTCTTAGTTGGTAGAGTGATATGTCCGGTTAATTCCATTAATGAATGAGACCTCAGCCTGCTAACTAGTTATGCGGACCTCTGTGGCCAGCTTCTTAGAGGGACTATGACCTTAAGCCAAGGAAGTTTGAGGTAATAAAAGGTTTTTGATGCCCTTAGATGTTATGGGTTGCGCGCTACACTGATGCATTCAATGAGTCTATAGCCTTGGTTGAAAAACCCAGCTAATCTTTGAAATTTTATCGTGCTGGTTCAAATTAGAGGTTCATCAAAACAAAACAAATTGAACCCATTTGGTTCACACCACAAAGAGCTTAGTCTAGAGCTAGTTTCTTTCTTCACTCCAACTAAATTTGGCGGTTGGCTAAATGATAACTAAATAAATGAAATGCTACTACACTGTTATCATCCCATCCCATCCATTCCACTACCAATTTTTTTCAAGGATTGGCATAGCCGGTTTCGACCATAATTCGACAAAGTTACAAAATAATTTATCAGTATCACTACAAGAATAACTCCATGTACAATTTAGATAAAAAGGCTTAAAGCAAAAAAAATTAAAACTTACATTGTTTCCCAAAAACGATTTTATCCTCCTAACCGAGTCTTCACCATTTTTAAACAGAAACGGTGTCGTATTCTCCACTACCACCTCAACATCTCTCCTCGAAAGCATCCTATACATTCATTAAAAACATAAGATAATTTTTTTTTTTTTTAAATTAAAAAGAAAGTATAATTAAGTTCTGAAACTAACCCCAAGAAGTTGGGTCGATCTCGTGCGAATGACAAGCACGCTTTGGCAGCGCGTAAGAAATCCTCCGGCAAATCTCGAGCACCCAGAAACTCGAAATCAGCATCGTTAAGTAGATTGTAGTAGCCAGAAGCAGAAAGATTACCAAGAAGCGCTTGAAATTGCGGGAAGTGTTGGTGAATAGAGGGAGAAAAGGCGTGGGGTAAAGAGGAGAGTTGGGTGTGGAGTTCACGGGAGGATTTGAGCGGGAAAAAACAGGTGGTTGTGGTGGGAAGTGGGGGTGTGGACGAGAGAGAGTGGTGTTGCTGGTGTTGGTGGTGATGGAGAGAGGATGGGAGACGATGGTAGTGGCGGCGGGAGAGGCGGAGGAGGGAGGAACAGCGGCGGTGGAGGAGAGGAGAAGGGGTGAGGAGTAAGAGAAATCTGGTGGCGCCGCTGCCCATTTCTTAAACCCTTGGGGTTTCTGGTGATGGTATGAGTGGGACTAGTGGCTACTAAAGCTTCTGTCTGTCGACATAAATGTGAAAATATCAATTTTTTGTGCTGAAAACCTTGGCTAAAGAGATAAGTTGATAAAATTAACTTAATTGTAATGAAAGCTGCAAAATGAATACCCTTTTATTGTTTGACACGTAGGACATTTTGGTACTCTTTTTTAGGGTGTAAAATTGTTTCATCTTGACACCTTAGATTGATAAGTATGATTTGTGATTTAATGAATTCAATCAAATTGCTGCATCTTGACATATTGAGTTTGTATTTATTACTCTATCTTGACACGTTAGATTTATATTAATAATTAATAAAAATTATTAGATTTATATTAATAATTAATAATAATAATAATAATAATAATTATTATTATTATTATTATTATTATTATTATTATATAGGTGCATTGCATTGGCATTCCAAAAGTCTAAACATTTTGACACATTGAATGTGTATTAATAACAAGTATATAGGTGCATTGCATTGACACCAAAGGTCTAATTAAAAAGATAAAAAGATTGGAGTTAGTCTCTTTATATTCTGTTTTGTAGCCTTACAATTGCTTCGTTTTGACACGTTAGATGTGTGCTTTAATGACATCTGCCTAAGATTGCTATTAATAATTATATAGGTGCATTGTATTGACATTGCAAACGTTTCTTCGTATTCAATTACATTGGCATTCGAAAGGTCTAAATAAAGAGTTATAAAAGGGTCATAGGTTCACTTGTGTATTATCACAATATGTTAGTTGTTGTCAACAATACGTTTGGTTTTTTGTTAATTGTTTATAGGTCATGTTAGTTTGTGTCAATAATATGTCTGCTCTTCTTGATTTTGTTAATCGATTATTATTTATTATTTTGTTATTGTTGTTGTTATTGTTTACAGGTCAAAGATTTATGAATTGGCATAGAATAAAGACAGATGTCTGATTGAGGAATTAACATTGTCAAATGAGTTGTTATTTCGATTCGTTCTTCTAAACTATAAGTATATCTTCTAACTATTTTAATATGAAACTGTAAGTATATCTCTTAACTATTTTAACGATTATTATTTGATTAAATGATTGTTTTTGTTCGGTCAATCTATTTGAATGATTAATTGTGTCAGTCCTACCAAACGATAAGTGTATTCCTTAACAATTTTAATATAAAAATCAATTAACTTTTGTTGATTTCATTTTTTGATAACAGTTGTTATATGAATAAATAATTGTTCCTTAACGGTCTTATTTTTGTTTTCAAGGAAATATTCATGTACTTCACTAAAGTCAAATCGAGGATGATCCTATCGTTTGCCGAACTGTAAGTAGATGTCATATCTATCTTAGTAGGAATAGTTCATTTGTGTCATTTGTGTTTGTTGTGTGTGATTTTTCCATCAAGCTCGGGCCTTCGCGAGGATATAGTTCAACCCAGAATTAGCTTGAAAACGATCATTGATCGACCTAGCATAAGCTCGTCGAGCTATAGTTGACCTAGCATAAGCTCGTCGAGCTATAGTTGACCTAGCATAAGCTAGTCACGAGCAATCCGAGCAATCATTCAATCAATCCCCATATTACTTCAGATCCCAGATATTACAGGAATAACTAGATCAACAGCAATTACTGCGCAATCACAACACCCAATAGCGAGAATATCGGAATTGCGATTCAGATCAATTGTAATCCCCTTAATTTCGCTATTTTCTTTGTATAAATCTTGTATATAAACACCCTCAAACAATGAGGAAGGGGTTATGAATTTCATATAAGAATTACATTTTAAGCTCTCACAGTAAATACAAAAACAATGGACGTAGGCTTCAGAGTTAACCTCTCCAAAACTCTCATTGTCTTTACTTTATTGAATTTTCACATACATTACTGATTATTCTTAATCACGCACACATAAGTTCCGATCTTGGCAAGGTCGATCGGATCTCGCTGGTTGGTGCAGATTTCTGTATCAACATTTTGGTGCTAGAAGAAGGGCCTCCGCCAACATCCTAAGGATTCCGACAAACATCCATAGCAATCTACATGTTCTAGGCCCAAAATGGTGTACACAAGAAACCTAAAAAACGTGGAAGTCGCCCATCAAGAGGTGCAACAGGAGATCGATGGACGCCGACCACTTGTGCCGCCAGCCCAACACACCACGAACAATCAGAGGGTAGGGACGTCAAACCGCGAGGACAGCCAGCTGATGGAGATGATCAGAACGATGGTTGCACAAGGGTACAACAAAATGTGGCCGAATTGTGGAACCAACAACTAGTTGCTCGGAACCTTGACCAGTCGCACTTCACCAATGCAACCCCAATATGTATGAATTTTGTAGGTAGACGGTCCGTTTCGTCAGCCCCGGGGGGCGATCAACACCCCCAACCTTGCAAACAGCACTCCACCCATGAGCGTGAGTCCTACGAGCAAAGAAACCTTGGGAGGCCGCCAGGGAAGCCACCACAGAGAGAAAACGAAGGCAATGGGCACCATGGAGAAGCTCGGCGGCTCCCCCAACGTCAGTGTGCCGATATTAACCCATGCCCAAGACAAGATCGATCTTTGCAGACTCGCGAAGCAAGTCATGTGCGTCAGTCTGGCAATGACCAACATTCCAGATATGACTGATGTCGCGAGCAACACACTGACAAACATGATAACACTTATTAGCCTAGCCATCATGACTCGACTTTGCGCATCAACGTGCACACCAGAGGAGCTTCGCAAGCATTAGAATTGCGAACTCATTTGCTCGAGGTAAGGTTTAATAGAGCTAGATAGGATAACCACAATAAAGATTTAGATCGCATGCAGAAAATGCTTGACAATCTAAAAGCTCACCAGAACAACCTGGCAGAAGAAGGAATGAGTTCCCCTTTCACGGAGGAAGTTTGCCAGGACCCACTTCTGCAAGGATTCAGGGCACCAGAAGGCAAATTCAATGGGAGAAGGGACCCCAAAGACCACTCGACAACTTCAATGACCTGATAGAGCTACACTTGGTCAGTGACTTAGCGAAATGCTGATGCTTCGCAATCACGTTAGTTGAAGATGCCAAGAGGTGGTACAAGAGGCTAAAGGTGAACTCCGTTAACTCCTGGCAACAATTCTCCTCACTGTACTTACAACAATTTTAGGCGAGGAGGTAGTTCGCAATGCCGCTTAGCTACTTGAGCAGCATGTGCCAAGAGAGAGATGAAACACTAACCTCGTACCTAACGAGGTTCCAGAATGAGCAGGCAAAGGTTGTCGATGCCCCCGAAGAATCCATCCGAACTTTGCTGATCATAGCAATTAGGCCGAACACAAAGCTATGGAAAGAGCTCTAAAGTGAAGATCATGTAAGTCTTGCCAAATTCTACCAAATGACTGCAAAATACCAGTGGGTAGAAAGCTCACTGGCAGCATTGGCTAAAAGCTCGACCCGGGGGGCCTCGAACAGACAACAAGATAGCCCATTAGATAAGCGTGAGGGCCGAGACCACAATGACAGGGATCGCAACAGGTTCCAAAAGAAGTAGAAAATAGATAATAGTGGGGATAGGCATCCTTTCCCGCGGTATGTAGAATATACCTCACGACATCTATAAAGTATCTCGAGAGGCGAAGAGACTTCCCACTCCATAAAGGATAAAGAGGGATCCAGGTAGAAGAGATCGGCAAAAGTATTGTCGATACCACAAGGACGTCAGGCACAACACAAACGATTGTCGAACTCTGAAGGACGCCATCGAAGACCTGATAAGAAGAGGTCATCTAAAAGAATTCGTTAAGGTGGAACCAGCTTGTGAAAATCCTGATGAGCAAAGTAACTAGGCTCTATGTCAGGCTCAGAACTCGACACAACAAGCTCCACCAAACCCCAACGAGGTCTTCATGGGAATGATCTATAGAGGACCTAACATAGCTGGGAGCTCGAGACGCGCTCAGGAGCAATATGCTCGGGAAGCCATAATGAACTCGGTTCCCCATGTAATGAGCTGTGAACAGAAGCTGCCCAAGTAGCCCAAACAAGAAAACGAGGTAGTAGGATTCATAATCAACGAGTGTGAATCATCTCCTCGCCATAATCATGACACAATCATGATTATGGCTAGAATCGGTAATGCAAGCATATTAAGGGTGATGGCCGACAATAGGAGCACGACAAACATTATTTTCTTGGAAGCCTTCTAGGAATGAGGTTCACAGAAAGAGACCTATGAGCGTGCCCTTCGCCGCTCTATGGGTTTACCGGGGATAGCTTGGTTCCCAAGGGCACAATCAACCTTCCTGTAACCTTGGGGGTAGAGCCAAAGGTCAAAACAGTGATGGCTGAATTTTTAGTGGTAGACTGCCCGACCACATACAACATCATCCTCAGAAGGCCAATCTTGGATGATTTAAGTGCAGCCACTTTAGTGCACTGCCAAACAATGAGATTTCTAACTACCGAGAGAGTTGCAACGATCAAGAGTTGCACCAAGGAATTCAGGAATGTTACAACCGAGCTATAAATGTCAATGGCTGCACCCAAGGATAATGATCATCACAAAATCTAAGTCGAACCCCAGACCACTCGAGGATACCATAGATCCTCGCTTCCATAGAGAAGAGCCTACAGTAGGGCCGGCAGAAGAATTGCGAGAGATAAGGGTCAGCGAGGAAAAACCCAACTCGTGTACTGAAGGTCGACAGCGGCTTGAGCGGTAAGGTGGCTGATAATCTGGAAAGCTTCCTAAAGGAAAACCTCAACGTGTTCGCGTGGGTGCATGCAGACATGGTAGGGATCAGCCCTAAGGTAATGTGCCACAGGTTGAACCTCGATCCTAAAGCTCAGCTGATGAGGTAGAAAAGAAAACTCGGAGTCAAGAGTCCAGGAAAGGCAGCTTATCTCAAAAAAGCCATGCCAAAATCCAACTCTTTAAGGATGAAACATCCTAAATCGACAAAGTTGAACTTGAAAAAATTCAAGAAAAAACACATCGAGGGAAATCGGCCTGAAGCCAGCGACTAAAAAACTCGAAAAAGACGATAAGTCTAAAATCAAAGTTGATCAGCGCATAAGATTTCCTTGCATAAATCTGAAAAAGCT